GTGCCATGTACATCACCACCACGAAGGAGTCAGGGCCGCGTGGAGAGGGAGGGCGATCGCGTCCGGCTGACATGTGTGACAAAGTGCTCGTCGGGTGCGTCACAGTTACCACAATTATTAAACGAGACAAAACCACGATTTAATAGTGTCAATCGATAGGATGTTATAATGTTTTTGTCCAAAATTCATGTGCGCAGGATTGTTCTTTTAGGACAACGACTGAGTTACAAACTGTTCGCCATTTTACGAATGTATTCGTTAATTTAAAATAACGAGGAGTATGAGTAGAAAAAGTAACAGGACATTTTCCGTCAAATTACGAAATAATTTCTACCAGGGTTGCATTACCCCGCGGGGCTGCCGGCCTCCAGGTACCGCTAATCCAGGTAGCGCCCCGCACCCCTCCGTGGTTCAGCCCCAGAGCGCCAAGCCACCCGACCTCCGACCTCGCCTGCCTACCTGCCCACCACCTCTTGGCCTGGCACCACTACCCGTCACTTCGTGGACCGCGGGCCCTATGCGTGACGTTTGCGCCGCGCTACAATGACGTCGCACATCCTCCTTGAGAACTGGTTGCCTCTGGTGGGGTGTGCGGGTCACAGCCTGACAAGTCTCAATGCGCTCCGACAACTCGCTCTCTGCAATGTGAGCCGATCCCGGGCCATCCGCGGGAGCGCAGGGGCAGGGCGGGCCGCCGTCTCCACAGAGCTGCTCAGCGGGTTGGCCTACCCAGCGCGCTGCAGGCGCCTCGACAGCGTCGCGCCGCTCACCTTGTGTTTACTTTAAAACCCGAGCACTAGTTTCATGTTTTAACATGAAACCTTTTGATTGCGAACGAACTCGTTCTCACGTGTCGACCCCGTCCCCGTCCGGGATCCGGAAACCCCAAAACCGTCAGCCCTCAGGTTTTTCCAGGTACTTGGTACTTCGTGCGGACGGAGCACCACAGGGGGAACAGGACCGGGAGTAGGGGGGGGGGGGCATCAGTTGTACTTTCCGTACATGGGTCAGATTGGTTATCCCGTCAGCGCGCCCTAGGTTGTCCTCCGTTGTGTAATTCCCCGAATGGCCGGCCCGCGGGATAGGCAAGGCGCAGGAGACCCACTATTCTGGTATTCTACCGACTTTCCTATTATCAAGATTAGCATAATTGCGAAAGGATAACGGGAAGGGCGCTTTACGGTTGGCGTGTAACTCACACTCGCTCGAGCCCATACCTCCGAGGACGCGCCCTTCTCCAGGATGGCCGCGGCCGCGGCAACCCCGTCTCCGGCCGCGCCGTCGTCCATGACGCCCGCAGACAGCTCGTCCTCCACCAGCAGCAGGGTCATGTCCTCGACGGCCTCTGCAGGGAGGAGAACACACACACACACACACTGAGCGGTGCCGCCTGCAGATACCGAGGCCAGGACGCCGTCGTGCAGCACGCTGCTCACCCTCCAGCAGCCGGTGGTACTCGGCCTCCTCCCGCTGCCGCCGCACGCGCACGGCCCGCACGTCGCTCGCCTCCTGGACGCTGCTCAGCGCCAGCGCGCGCGCCCTCTCGTGCTCCGAGGACACCTTCTCGAACCTCCTGCGCACACGGGGACAGAGCGTTAGCCAGAGTAAGCGCAAGCGAGCCGCCGCCTCCTCCCCACCCCACCCACCTGTGGAGACCCTGCACCTCCTGGAGGAGCGCCTGCACCGCGGCCTCGTCCACGGGCGCCCCCAGCTCCCGCTGCAGCGCTCGCTCCTTGGCCTGCAGGTCCCGGGTGCGCGCCTCCAGGCGCGCCGTCTCCAGCTGCAGCGCCCGCGTGGACAGCCGCTCGGAAGCGCGACGCGTCAGCTCCTGCAAACGGACAGGGAGGATGACATGGCCGGCCCGAGCGAGAGTGAGTGGATGTGGAGGGCGTACCCACCTGGAACAAGTAGCTCTTCTCGGACAGCTCCTCGCGGGCGGCGGCCGCCTCCCGGGTGTAGGTCGCCTCCATGTCCTTGCGCAGCTTGATGCTCCTCGTCAGCTGCGCCACCTCCAGGCGGGCGGCCTCCTCGCGCGCGGACAGCGCGTCCAGCTTCATCTGGGGGGCCCGGCCGGGACAGCCAAGCGAATATTGGCGTTGGATTTCAGAGAGTTGAGAGGTGCGTGATGTCAAGTTTTAAGTACCGATTCCGGAAAAAGGTCGAGACAGGGACGTGTGCAGCTTGGGTCTAGTGTGTATGACAAGAAGTTACCGGACGTACATATAACGTTAAAAATATTAAATGGGAACTTTGTTATTGCCAAATCCCGAGTCAAATCTTCAAAAAGTGGGGTGAATTTTAAAACTGAACGCATTCAGTGCGGTGCGATCACAATGTGACCACACTCAGCTGCTTTTGTCCAACCCCCAGAATGCCAAACAGTCGAACTAAACGCGTCACTAGTGTCACGCTTTTGCACGCAGGCGCAGGTAGATGGTCATCAGCGAGGTTGATCGGGTTAATCTTACCGACCCGTGCGGTTAGTCCACCGCGTAGCCGATCGGGCCGCCAAAAACCCAGCTGGTTTTCCCAACCTCCCAAACCCTACACAGTCAAGGTGTTCAGGAATAGAGTAGTCTCGTCGGTGCGAGCACATCCAAAGCCGCATGAGTTGCGCACTACAGCCTACCGCACCTCGTGGAGCTGCATCCTCCTCGCCAACAGCGACAAGCACTGCTCGGCCTCGGCCCCCAGCTGCTCTGCGACGCCGATGTCACCGTCCAATTCCATCACTGATCTCTTTCCGTGTCACGTAATTCTAACAAGGGAACCTTTTCAGGTGTAAATCTCCGATTTCGTTGGTACTCGGAAAATTTAAAGGTTATTATAATAGAAGTCGGATGGCACTTGAAACTTTTCCTAAAGTTAACATTTATTGGGGGTTTACTTAAGCCTGACACTGTTTTTTGCTCCAAATATCCCTCTACCGCTTTAACGGTTCAAAATAGAGCAAAACGGACAAAATTTTGACCCAAAGGGCACTACTTTGACGAGTTACCCCTTAGAACACTGCTTTACCATTTTTCAAAAAATATTTTTTTCTAACACCTTTCTCCCATCTTATATAGGGGAAAACTAAATGTCAGGTTTAGGAAAAATTTCAAGTGCCATCCGATTTCTACATGAATAACCTTCAAATTTTCCAAGTTTCAACGAAATCGGAGATTTACAACTGAAAAGGTTCCCTTGTAAGGGATGCGAGTGGTTGTCCACGTTATGGGTTGGGTTATCCAAGCGGTGTGTCGGGGTTGTCGCAGACTACAGTACCCCATTCGACCCCGACCTCTCTCTACTAGCGTACTAGCGACCCCTTCCACCCCCGCCCCCGCCCTGCGCGCGCAGACCTGACAGCTGACAGTCGGGCAGGAAGGAGCGACGCGATTGGTCGAGTTGGAACAGCGCGAATCCAACGACAGTTTTAGGCCTGTCCGATCAGCTGTTTCTTTGGTTAACGCTAACGCCTGTCAAGGTTTTCGCTGTTGTTCTTTGTGGCTTGTGCCGTGTGAGTGCGAGGTGCAAGGTAGGGGGTAAGGAGACAGATCCGTGGGACGCGATGCGCGTAGATGAGATGGCGGAGGTCGACAACGTCGAGAACACCCCGCTTTCGGACGTGGTGGAGTGCCTGGTGAGTAAAGTAGCCGCGAGTAGCCGCAGCCTAACAATCGTACTGGTGGCCGCACTTGTTTCTATGACGCTGAGGGCGTTCACCGTCAGTGAGTGGTCGTCAGATACCCGTGCTATGCGATGATAGCATGCCGATCATGAGGTGCCGTCGCCCAGGTGCCTCCCAGGCCCCGGCCGCGCTCGCCCTGTAACCCCGTCTCCGTGTGCAGGATGAGGCGTCCCGCTGTCTGTCCATCGTCGGCGCCAACCTCGCGGGGCTGCTCGAGGACCTCAACACTGCCCCGGAATGTCTGGCGTCGCTGCAGCAGCACGACCTCGGTCGGCTGGAGAACGAGGTCCGAAGCCTGAACCGTAACCTGGAGGACGCCCTGGAGGACGCCGCGGTGGCGGCCAGGGTCCCGCCGCGGCCCCAGGCCCCCCAGGCGCCACCACTCCGCGCAGGTGAGCACCGGGGTGGCACCGCGCGCCCGGCCTCTACCCCCCGACCCTCACCGCCCTCATGCTCCCCCTGCTGCAGGCATGGCGGAGCGGTGCGCCGAGGTGGAGGAGCTGCGGGCCAAGGTGCAGGCGCTCCAGCGGGAGCACGACAAGAGCGCGGCGCTGCTCGCCACGGCGCAAGCGGACGCCGCGTGCCTGCGCTCGCAGATCACTCACCAGAGTGCCTTCTGCGCCTCCCTGGGCTCCGTGCTCGGCAACCTACTGTGGAAGGCCTCCAGGGTGCCACCCGTCGTGGACCTGCTCCTGTCGGGGGTGAGTTAAAGGGGAGTACGCTTCAGCTTCGGAACTGCAACCACTTTTTTTTTCTTTTTTTTTCTTTTTCTTGGTGTTTGACTTTTTGAGCTTATTTCTTAAAGAATGAGAGAGAGAAAAATGGGGGTGGTGGAGAAAATGAGGCTTTGAAAAGAGATACAGTACTATTTGTATTGTAAATTTTCAATTGGGGCAAAAAATAAAATCAAAGAAAAATAAAACAAGAATTGCTTTTCAATTTAAAAAGCAGAGAAACATTTTAACATCAAAGGCATGAACTAATTAAGTTTTTTAAAATGTGATGGTTAATTTACTTTCTGAATTATAATTTAAACAGAACAAGGCGACTGATTTTCTATGCATTGTTAGCGGCACACTGGAATCATTCCTCGAAACATTTAACACGGAGATGCCAGGCCAATCTTCAGATGAAAGCCAGTTTATAATGGCCATGGGAGGTATAGTCACGAATATGGCTGCAGCTCCTGCTGGTAGACAATTTCTTGTTGGCGATCCAAATGGCAGAGAACTCTTACAGCAAATTGTGAGGGTATTACCAGTCATCCCAACACCTTCTGGAAATTGTCTGAAGAGGTACAAACCTGCAACAAAATTGAAGTCAAAATAATTGCCATAGCATTGCTTAAGAATAATTCTTTTTTTCCCACATTTTAGACTTTTGTTGATGGCTTTGTACAATGTGAGCATCAACCAGTCAGGCCTCAGTTTGCTCCAAGATGATGGAGGAGGAGCCATCTTCACAGTTGCCAAAGATTGCTTGAAGCCAGAATCAACAAATGAACTAAGAATCATGGCTTTGAGGCTTCTACATTCGTTGACTTGTGATATAAAAAATCCGGCCTTGGTTGCACAGGTTGAATGAAATGTGTCTTATTGTTCTACAGAATATAAAGGTACTGATTTTGATAGGAATATTTTCATTTTCAGGTACCAAAACAGTTAATATCAGATCTAGCTGCTTCAGATGATCCCCAACTCCAAACTTTGGCTCTAGACGTGAATGAAAATCTTGTCAAGGCACAAGAAAGATTAGGTCAGATGCCAAACAAAAATGGAAGTACAAACAAAACTCCAGGAATAATTACAAAATCTCCAAACTCCCAGTTTGAAAGTGATAATTTAGAAAATAGACACAACACAGTGCAACCAACAACAGCTTGGCGTCTGCCATCACATCCATGAAAATATAATAATACAACTCTAAGATGTAAGCAATATTCAATGAAGGCTTAATCTTCCCTCAAAAATGCTATGGGCATGCCAATTTTAAGAAGTAAACTCACCTATGAGATTGAAACATTACGTGGTGGTATTAAATCGTACTTGTCAGTACTTCCTCCTGCTCTTTGAACTTCAGAGACAATATCCAATGGCCTTTTTTTCACACTCACTACAAGTTGCCGGTTATCATCTTTTCCATAGCTTACACTCTTAAGGCCAAACTTGGCTGCAACACTGCAAAAATTGTTGATGATGTAAGAACATAGTTTTTAAGACTACAGTTAACCAATTTGAGTGATGTATTAATGATTGTTACCTATGAATTAATGATCGCTCTTCTTTAGAGAAATCTGAGGCAAACACCAAGTCATGGGTTGCATTACTTCTTTTGAACTTTTGAAGTGTATCAGTAATATTTTTCCTAAATTCATTACTTCCAAGTTGCTTCCCGAGTCCAGCTCTCTTCACATGTTGAACAACCCTAAAAACAATTGGTTTGTCAAATTTGGGAACACCAAATATCACTTTCAGAAGACATAATGTTGAGACATACTGAACAGGTTCTTCTCGGCCTTGTTCCTTTTTACCCAGACCGCCGCCTCCCCACCCCATTAGTTTCATCATTCTATTAACTTTGCTGTCCTCAGAAAGATGATCAGGAACGTCTTTAGGGTCTTGATCCTGCTTAGCATCAGACACATCAGTTTTATCAACTACTGAGCCAGCCAATCGGTCTTTGACCTGTTAAAAAAATACACCAAAAAAATTTACAATAAGAACCTTGCTTGAGATAACAGTAACATTGTAAAGAAACATTAAAACTGAATTGGACTGTTGTACTTACAATTAAAGTGTAGCACAAGTTTTGAAGTTTGGCTAAGCCCTCCTGAGCACATTGATCTTTAGTTTCAGCCAAAGTTGGTCCAGTTGCCTTAGACAATAGGAGACCATTAATAGATAAAGTGACTTCCCTGGAAAAATAAATAAAGTTCATGATGGGAGCCTCTGAACCAAAAGGCATTGTAATTGAAAGATAAAATTAGATTAATACAGAACATTGTTTTTTTCTTTTTCATAAAAGCTATCTTACATTCCAGATGAAGATTTGTTGATGTCCTGTTGCAAAGTCATCCGAGAGGTTGAAGCTGATCGAGTTAAAATGGAATAAGCTTTTTCAGCCCCTCCTTGCATTAAGACCAATTTTGAGGATAGTTCCTCCAGTCGCCGTATTTTCTTTGGTGGGCCTTGATCAGAATCATTTCCACCTCTCTTGTTCCTAGGGTTGTGACCTTCAGAGCGAGCTTGATTAGCAAGGACAAATTTACCTGGAATGCTGTTGAGATGAACAGACTTTTAATTAAAGTAGAACAATTTACAACACTAATTGATACTCAAATTTGAAAAGAAACAGGTTGTTACCTGTTTGTTGTGGAGGGTTCTGATGTGTTTATTGCAGGCTTCTTTTTCTTTTTCTTATTTCTCTTCTTTTTGGGACCTTTAGATGCGGGGGCATCATTGTTTTCTTCAGGGGAGTTTTGTTCAGATGGGTTTTCCTCAGATGGGTTTTCCTCAGGTTGATTGACTTCGACTTGATTTTCTTCAGTATGCATGCTTTCAGAGTTTTCTTCAGTGGCCTTTTGGAACATTATTTTTTTGGGCTGAGCTGGTACTGTATCTTCTTTTTTACTGCGTCCTGCAATGTAAAAAGCATCCTTTCAGAATTTTCGATGGTCACGAATGTGTTATGCAGTTTAGAGTTCTGCAAGAGGTTTCTTAAGACTATCGAGGTAACTCACAGTTAGTTCTACCTTTAACCTTTGTGCTTGCAGCATCTGAAGCTTGCACAAAGGTACGTTGTAGCTTAGTCTTCATTTTTTCACGATGTTCATCAGCAACCCCATCAGACAGCTGAGCAACTAGCCGCATTGTTTTTTCTGGATACCTGGACAAGAAGAGTTGGACATTACTGTAATGACATATTGTACAGAATGATAGTTTGAGAAAGAAAATCGTCTTGCAATACCTGCAGCCCATAAACTCCACATTGTAAAATACTTGTGCTAGGCAAACAAGCCTATCTTCTGGATATTTGTCCTTGTGTGTGACTAAAAATCTCCGCCGTAATTCCCAGTGCTCTTCGCATTCATGCTCAACACGATACTTGTCAACATCCCAATCAGTAGGGAACGTCATAGTGAGGGACCTGGAAAAGAAAAACAGAGAAAATAGAGATCAGAGCTCGAAGCATTTTGGGGTTTGGAAAATGTTAATGAAATCCGAGTAAATTAATGAAGGCATGTCACATCGAGCTAAACAATTAGTTAAAAAAAATGGAGAAAAAAGTTTTGGTCATGACTTTTCAACGCCGAAAACAACCCTAAACTGACAAGTAAGTGAAACACCTCCTCACCTTCCACACAGAAATAGACAGAACAGTTTAGACTTACGGAATATAGAGCTTGCTGTGTTGATTTCGGCTTTGAAAAAGCTGTAAAACTGTAAGAATTCTAACCCCCAAGCGGTACAACTCTTCACGATGCCTGGTTCTGTTGTGGTTTACGTGCGCAGTGTTGCCGAACCGACTCTGTTGGACGCTATGGGAAAATGGAGCTGACGGGAGGAAAGGGAAGCGAAGTTACAGAGACGACCGCTAGAGGACGGCACCGTGCTGGACCTCCCCGGCCCCGGCCCCTCGCGCGCGAGCTTCAAGTCCAGGCGCTGCCGTGTCCCCTCGGCCCCAGGCTCCTGTGGGGGGTCCTGCTGGGGACATGAGTAGAGGTTGCTCGGAGGAAGCGAGACGCAGCACGACGCCCGTTCACAACAGCGATAGAACCCCGGCCCCTGGCTCCCTCCAGACGCAAAGCCCTGGGCGTTCATGGGCGGCTGCCCATGGCGGTCACACAGAGTCCAGTTTTAAAGCCCAGCTGTTTACTCAGCAGACTCGGTGCCCCCCTCCCTCACCCTCCCCAGCAGGGAAGCCGAAAAGCCGGCGGGACTATACCGGGCCGTTGTGGGGAGGAGGCGGAGGGGGCGTTAGTCTTGTCCTGTCATGCATGGTTGATGATATGAAACGGTCAGCCGTGTTTGTGTCCGCGCCGACAACTCGTGGGCCGGCCGGACGGATGGCGGTGTGTGTGTGTGTGTGTGTGTGTGTGTGTGCGCGCGCGCGCGTGCGTGCGTGGGCGCACGTGCAAGTGTTGTGCGCGCACCTCGTGGCTAATTGAAACATTACATATTTAAGACCCTGGGCAATCTGTGTGTCCGCAGGGGGGTGCAGTGGGGCTCCCATCCTTGTGCAAAGCCTTCCTTCCCTCCTTGCTGTCTCTTAGCCTCGGGCCGGAATGCCTCCCCCCCCACTCCACCCCCTCACACGCAAACACAAGGCCGGTACGCGACCCCTAACCCTCATCCCTCTCCACCACAAGTTGATTCTCTTCTGCTCCGCCCAACCCAGCGACCCCAACAACTGCCCCCCCCCCCCACCCACACCCCTTACGCCGCGCCTCTTGCAGCTCGCACCTGATGGTGTTTGCAACGGGTAACGGGTGCGCCTAGAACCACGGACTGTAGTGGTGATCACCCATGAGTGTGACAAGGACACGGAGGAGGGGGCCGGGTCACCCGCGCCAAGAGAGTAGGGCTTGCCAGCGCGCCCTGTGATCACCCAGCACCTGCGTAAGAGTGCGTCGCCCATGTGAGGTGACCGAGTTTGCGCAGGGTTCTTCGACGACGCCTACCTTATTTGGTGAGCGCTGAGTGGCGGGGTGCACCGTGGGTTGCCTACACTGTAAATCTGGGTTGTCCAGCAGCTGTGCGCTCTAAGTCGCACAGAATCCTGGGTCGTGCGACTTTAGTCGCACAGCTGCTGGACACCCCAGATTTACAGTGTACACGAAAGGAATTTTGTGTAGCAAGTTCTCTACCTGCCAGGGGCGGATCACTAGAAACGACGTGATGGGGCCGGGGCGCGATGTGGGTCGCCCGCAGTCACCCGGGCCCTGTATAAGGTACCGACCACCCCCTCTCCCCCGAGTGGCAGTTGCGTCGGGTTCGATTCAAGCCATCCGTTTTATCTGCGGCCCGGCCCTGCGCAGCCCGGCGGCACTCGGACAAAGTGAGCGTGCGAGCGGACGGGAGCGAGACGGGTGGTGCTGCCAGGAGCAACACGGCGTGGCGGGGCGGGCACCAAAGCGTTGCAGCAGCAGCGCCTGAGGGGGCGGGGCGGGGCGGCCGGCGAGGGGCCGAGGCGCCGGGAGCCTGACGGGCGCGCCTAAATAATGCAGGCGATCCACTAACGCGGATATACGAACAGGCCAGTCTGGCACGCCCCGGGGCGGCGCAGTCGGGCGGGAAGGAGTCTGCCGCTTGTGACCCCGACAAAAAAAGGAAAGGAGGAAAAGGGTTGATGCACTGTAACAGGAGCAAGCATTATGGCGCACTCCTGCTTTGCGAAGGTTTACACCCGGCCCCGGTGCACACAAGGCGTCCCCGTTCAACATGGGTGGTTTTTATCGATACTCGGATGAACCTTGCTGAAGTTGAGGAGTGTGGGTCATGTGGTTACCGCTAGGTTACCGCCCGGGGTCCCGCGCCCCGCGCGCGAGGGCAGGTGGAGGGTAGGCAGCCGGCCAGCCGCGCCCGCCCGCGGGGTGGCCTACCTCCACGGCGGCCCGGACACATCCACCCCGGCCCGCCCCGGCCCGCCCCGCTCGCGTCTCGCATTGAATATGCATTATTGTTTTGGGGCGGCGGGCGGCGGGAGTGAGTGACTCGCAAGGCGAATGTTTGGAAATCATTACCATCGAATTACAACTGTGCGCCTGCCGAGGAGGAAGGCGGGCAAACATTACACCATTCCCTTCACGTCGTGCCTCTGCTGCCGCCGCCCCGCCCCGCCCCGCCCCGCTCCCGGTGCGGCGGGAGGGAGGGTCCACGGCGGCGAGGCCGTCGACGCGTGCTCTGCGAAAGTTAGGGCGGGCGGGGACGGAGCGAGGCGGGAGCGCCCGAGTGCGAAATAAAAAGTTGCTGGAAATCAGCTCGGGGGAGTTGCGTGGCTCTGGGTTGGGGTGCGCGGAGCGAGGACGCGGCTGACTAAGAGTGTTCTGTAATTTGATCGATCCCAAACACTTTAGCAGGTGCCTTGGCGTCAGGTTGGGATGGTTGGGGTCTCACCACCATAAGCATGCCTTTGATCGCCCAGTCCTCGGCGCTCGATCCAGCGCATGCCCTCAGTAACCCCTTCATGTTGTCGCTTGCCCCTTGTTAGGGTGTGGCACGTCCTGGACGCAACTCCTTAACAGAGTGGCCCGTTTATTAAGAAAGGCGCCCCTAGCGCCCCCGGGACTTCCCTCCTCTCTTTCGCTAGGATCCCCTCCGTCCGCACACGATCCCTAAAAGCAGGAAAACGGACGGAATTCCGCAGCACGCGCAGCGGCAACCTCCGGCCCCGAGCCCCGGGCCGGGCGGCCCCGCCGGCGTGCAGGAAGGAGTAGCAGCAGCAGCAGTACGTATTTTGAGACGAACGCGGCGGCCTTCGACCTTTTCGCTCTTACGGAATAATGCAGGAAGGCCCTACCGGGGCTCGGGGCTTCCTGCTGCTGTGCTGCTACCGGGCCCCCGCCCGGGCCGGACCGGGTGGCTGGCCCTGGCTGAGCTACCCCCTGGAGACCCGCGAGCAACCCAGCCTCGCCCGCCTGCATCGGCCGCACAGCAGCACGACAACGGCTCCCCCCACAGCACCACGGCACGGCCAGTCGGACGACCGAGATAGGAGGACCTCGCCGCCGGGCCGCGTGAGCTGGACATCATCCCCCCACGGGGACACAGCGGCGGGCCGGCGGGGGCGGGGGCCCCGGGGGGGCTCTGGGAGAGGTGCGAGGCGTTGAGCAGCACAGGCCCGTGCCCAGCCCAGTATGGAGATTGCAGAGCGCCAGGTGTCTCCTCGGCGGCCGCCACCCACCACTCGCGGGGCGCAGGGCCGCCACCAGGACACACGCGGCCCGAGCTGACGCTGCTGACGCTGCTGACGCGGACCCCCAAAGACATGTCCGGCTCGCCCAATAGTTAATTAGCAAGCCTGGGGCTGCCAGGCCTGACCGGCCCGGCTGTTTATACAGTTAAATGCTTAGCATGTCGGTAATGAAGCAATTACTCTGGCGATGGCGTGTCCACCAAAAGAGTTCTGCGCTCTCTCCCTTCTTGCGGGGTCACTGAGGGGGTCGTTGGCTCAACGCGGGGAGAGCCTGGAGTAACACCGTTTTGTATCGGTGTTCCGGAAAATCGTGTGTTTATTTTTACCCTCCGGAGTTCATTCAATACATTCATATTTATTGTTTTTAAAGCCTTAAACACGTTGTTACGAACTGAAATTCTATTCTCGTATGACGGTTTACCGTGCAGCCTTTCAAACATTTTTGTTGCATTCAACTTTTGACTTACGAGCACCGGTTTGAAACTGCGGCCCCTATGGTCGCGCGTTCAGTAACTCGAACTGGCGAGTCAACCCTGGCCGCCGTCAAGACTGTCCTCTTTATCGCAGCCATATCATTATACCCCGCCCCGCCTCCCCCCGCCTCCACCCCGCCGCTGGCGAGACTCCACGCTCCTCCCCCGGGGATACTCCCTGCAGGATCGGGTAGACTGTAAAACACACAGGCCCGTCAGTATTTCTCAAACCATACCAGCAGTACACTGTTGAAACACTTTGGGCCGCCGGCGCTGTCGCTCCCAGTCCTCTCTCGCCCCTCATCATGTCCTGGCGGGACGGGGGGTGGCCCGCCGAGAGAACGGGGCTCGTGCTCATCCACAGGGGGATGGCAGTTCGTCTGGAAAGGTAATTTAATTCAAAGGTGAGAAGCGGATAGGGACTTAGAGGGATGAGGATGAGGAGGCAAAGGAGGAAACTCGTCTCATCAGACGACACAACTCAAGGCGGCAAGTCAACCGCGCGGCGTCGTCGTAGTCGTTTCATGAAATTGTGTCGTTAAAGGCCATTATTCTAATACTCCTGGAAAAGTGCGCCTTTCATTTTGAGTTGGCAGCAGAAGGCGGATGGTGGGGGCCGTATGGAGATGGGGGTCGAATTCCAATCGAAGACGACAGCGCTTGACAATTTCATTATTTCATGTGGAACGCATGACCCAGTGGAGGGGTGCGGGGAATGCCCGGCGCGCGGCGGGGCGGGGCGCGGCGGGGCGGGGCGGGGCAGGGCGGGCCCCACATAAGGTGCATATTGAGCAGCCGCCGGGGCCGCCTGGGACCGTCTGGAGCCCTGGGGATGGCTCAACCTCAACTTGAAGTCTAGAGGAAAAAGATAGAACTGGCATTGAACACGACACCCAAGCTGTTCGCCCGTGTCCGCACCGCAGGTGTGAAGTCCAGACCGTCGCTTCACTACATTCGCTCAGGGCACCACTTCGATTTAGGATGTACACATTATTACGTGATTACAGGGATTGCATGTGAATTTTAAAAGATAACACATAAATGTTGAATTTCGGGCGCTAAAACCATTAAATTTCGATAATTAGGTCAAATTTAGTGGCAATTTTTCATAATTTGGTTTAGTATTACACTGATTACATAGGGATTACACTTTCATTTGCACAT